GGTTGGAGGCTAGGGGGGGTCTGAGGGAGGGGATGGTTATCCAGCCTTTTTCAAAACAAAACTAGTAAACTCGATCCAGGTGCAGCATACAAGATAACTAATATAGACCAGAATCACCTCTTTTTAAACTAAACTTGTCTGTTATTAAATACGATCTGGTATCACTGTCATGCGTGGACTTTCGTATCGAAAGCCAAATTATTGTGTTTGTGGCATTTTTTTAGTACTGTTTTACTCAAAGTTCTCTTTTCTTTCTTTGATGTTTCTTCCTCTTATAAAAGATTGGTACTGTTTAATTCTGTCAGTTAAGTCACAACGTTTATCAAAAATCATTCAAAATACCGAAATTAGACAGGGTAAAGGAAAGCGTCCTTCGTAATATAATGTCTTAAACCAATGAAGCATTCAAAGAAATGTAAGCCTTGAATATATCACGTAAAGCTATGCCTGGGCGAGTACCAATATGCTTGCCTTATCTAGAAGTATCAACAGGTGTGGTTAACAGTGAAACCTCGCAGATCCTAGGGATATTTTTAGCTATTTCTTAACTTGATTTGCGATGAAATTATTTTCTAGTGATTTATAAGCATGTATATGGCTTTATTTCAGCTAGGTAGAGAATCAGTTTGTGTTGTGCATTCTGAGTCTAGTTTTCAGAGTTTGTTTGTGGTTTCAACGCTTTGATGATTATGGAAAACCGCACTCAGTTGGTTTCAACAAAAAAATTCTTTTTGACCCTAAATCAGTTCGATAATTTAAATAGGAAGAAAAACTAAAATTCAACCAACATTTTTTTTTCAATTTCAGTGAGGGAAAAAATTAGAGTTCTGATTTTTTAAGCAATGGGGTTTTGGAAATTAGAAATTTTTGCCTGAAAAATTGGAAATAATGGGCAAGGCACCAAGATCATTGATCTGAGTCGAAATATCTTAAGCACCTTTTCAAAGCATGGTTTTCTTTAGATTCAAGCGACGCTGAACCAAAGACGCTGTGAGATCTTAGATTCCAATATTCTAAATGGAKGATAAATCCTGAGCAATCAATAAAAAATAATCTAAAAAATAATAACTTTCTCAACCCAAAATGCAAAGTATACTAAAACATAGCATGGTTTATAGTAAGTTTAAGAGTCTGATTTGAACAAATTATCATTCTATAATAAACCTTTACGCCTCMGAGATGTTCACAAACAAAACAATTCTTAAGAGTTTAGAATAATTTATTTACTTATAATGGCTCTTGCAAAGCTAGGAAACGCAAGACGCCCTCTGCAGCTCAAGGTGAACACAGCTCCTCAAAGCTTTGTACAAGATGAAGACGCTCATTTTTCTCATCGTTTTAATTGCCTACGTGGCAGGTAGACCTTCTATTTTTTCAAGGCAAAATGAAGGTAAGATAATTTTTTCTTGGTAGCACTTTGTTGGTTTTATCTAATATTTTGAGATTTTGGAATTTTTTATTTATTAAGTTTATTTTGTTTTGGGGTGTTTGTCAGTAAACTGAGTCATGCGCAAATGAAGACAAAATCGCTACGAGATTTTCAAACTTATGATAGAAAAGCTCAGTCCTTGCTTTTTATTGTCGGTATATTATATTAGTTCCTGGTACTTACCTCGTGGACCTTATTAAGTTCTTGAGCAGTACTCGATAATTTCACCATGCGTGGAGTTTATTTTGCAATTTTATGATTTTATCCAAAAAATGTAAATTGATCCTAGATGAAAGTAATGATAAATTGCTTTAAAGAATCTGCTCAATCTAAAGTGTCATTTCTGATTTAAGAAGGATAGGGAAAACTCTGTTAACGATTAGCACAATTATGAAAAAAGAAGGAAACAATCGTGCGAAAATAGAGAAACAGTAATCAATTTATAGCAATAATAATTAAAGAATATATATTTGGAAATAAGGAAAGTCTGACGAACTAAACAATCTGATAGATATAAGAATATTGTTTAAAATTAAATTAAATTTAAAAAAAAAAAAATCAAATAAAACATCTAAATTGGTTGACAAGAAGGTTTAATTATATAATTAATCAGTAGATACTTTTCAAAACTGATTCTCTTGTTTTTACTCATAAATTTTTCTCGGAAATATTTATATGTTACGCTAAAGTAAAAAAATTAATGTAAAGTGTAGGAGATTGCCATTTCGTACAAATGCTTGAAACTTTATGCAGTCAAACTGAGCAATATGTGGCAATATTAGTGCGTATGGCTTTATTGAAGCAGAAAAATGTAATATTTTAGATTGTGTAGTCACGAGGTCACTGTGTCCGATGAACGGTGTTAATTTGTTTTTGTTTTGTTCTATTTATTTTATTTTATTTTTTTGAGTATTTCTTATTTCAAAATTTTTTAATGAAATGGTTTACAAACATTTTTTGAAATATTAGAGTGTTTTTGGTGCTTTATCAAATAAGCGTTCTTTGTGTTTGTATAAGTGCGAGTCGCATAACTAATTAAAGAATTGCTGAGGCGGAGAAAACAACGCTAAGGAAAGTAAGAAGCGTAAAATGCTTCAGAGATGACGACTAATATCATTGTTTACACAGAATTTTTCTAGAACAAAACAAAAAACCCAAGTTTTGTTTAGAGAAATTCTATTCTATAATATTAATTTGATTCCTAAAGTAAATTTACTGCATTTTGAACAGAAAAACAGAAAAATATAAAAATGAAATTTAATCTTAGCGTTCTAAACGTTACATGTTGAGTGTCTAGTTGATTTTTATTTTAAGTCTGTACCCAAAAGCAAACTTTTGCAATGTTTTCTATAAGAATGAAAGAGTATCTAAGTCTGACTTTTAAGCATAAAATTATAGTGTTTTATGGAATAACAAACTTTGGTTCTTCAGAAGTTTTGGAGCTTGAAAAGCTCTCCTCCTGTTAAAGTGACTATAACAAAATAAACTTATTCATGAGTAATAGAGGATATTGCATGGGCGCGCGGAGATACGAAATTTATCTTCGAGTGTTGAAAAGATCTCTCACGAGTGAGCGATTTTCAACACGAGAAGAAAAATTTCCTATCTCCGCGCGCTCATGTAACATTCTGTTTACTATATAATTTTCCATAAAATCAACTTAACAAGCTTTTTATTATTATAAAAAGTTTTTATTTGTAAACTGATAGCTTAAATACACATGGAAACGATATTTTCACATGTGAAAATAACATGTTATTTTCACATGTGAAAATATCAGTTTTTCGAAAAGGAGAAATATAGGTATTTTATTGATAATTGGATTATGGATTATGATAAATAGTTATTCTATATAATTAAATCGACAGTCAGTTAACTCAGATATAAAATCATAGAGGGTTGAAAACTGATATTTTGGCGAGATATATTTCCAGGAGACTCCCATATTCCCTGAGCTGCCGCTGACTAGCTATCCTATCCCTTTCGAGCCGATTTTAAAAAAAGCATCTTGCAAGACCTCGGTTAGTTTCCTATTTAGGGGAGTGAGCGTTGCGTGACGACACTAATAGCGGGTGCGTAGGAGACTAGACTTCTCGTGGTCTACGACGCAATAGACCATGAGGCCGACTACTTCTTACTGACATATAGATTTGTATGAGTCTAATTGGAAAAAAATAAATTCTATTAGTCACACAATAAAGATTTGTATGATTTATTATTATTATTACTAAAAGCAATTTTCCCCATTTTTTCTTGTTAATTTATGCGTAAAGTTTTTATATTTTCGTTGCTCTTTTGTTTCGTTGTCACTACTTTGTGATTTCCCTAATAATATATCTTATGTTACTTGTACTTCTTTTAATCGGATATAGGCAAATCATGAACAACATCTTATATTTTTCTTGGCAGATCTCTTCGACACCATTGATGACTTGTGGGGAGATGATCAGGACGACTTACTGAGACAAGATGAACCCAAAGCACGGGAAAAAGCTGAGGAACAGGAAGAGGTGAAGGAAGACAAAGAGAAAGAGGAGGAGGACAAGGAAAAAGAAAAAGAAGATAAAGACGAAGTCAATGAAGAGAAGGCTGAAGAGAAGTTGGAGGAAGAGAAAGAAAAGGTTGACAAAGTCGAAGAAAAGGTGGCAGAAGAAAAGGAGAAGGAAGAGAAAGCAGAAGAAAAAGAAGACAAAGATAAAGAAGAGGAGGAGAAGGCTAAAGAGAAAGAAGAAAATGAAGAGGAGAAAGTTGAAGAAGAAAAGGAAAAAGGAAAGCACAACGCCAAAGAGGAAGAGAAAGAAGAAAAGGCGGAAGAAAAAGTTGAGAAAGCCAAAGCTGAAGTAGAAAAAGAAAAGGAAAAAATCGAAAAAGAGAAAGAAAAGGTCGAAAAAGATAAAGAAGAGGAAGAGAAAGAAGAGGAAAAAGAAGA